CCAACGAGAAATTTTTGGACTGTTATTCAACTGAAGGTGGAAATCAGTATATTTGTAATAACGAGAAAAGAAGTGACTGTAAATATCGACAAATGTATTTATTCCCTTATATGCACGCGTATTTCCGCTTTACCGATGAATTATATTAATCAATTTTCTTCTATTATGTAATCTGAGTTACTTCTCGCCGACTAAAGCACTTTCTTACCTCATTTCAACTCGATGCAGGGTATTGATCTCGAGTGTGCCTCCCATAGATTAAAATAAAAATATTACAATATCCAAGATTACGTGCAATTAATAATCAAAGACCGTTTTCGCTGCAACTGGAACGGATGTCGCATGTTCGCGAGAGTGGATGATCGCATGACGCGATCTATATTAACTTTTTCCCGTCCATTGTGAAGCATCAACCGATAATCAATGGAATTTCCTTAATTAATATCGACATACTTCCACACTGCGGTTCACTGACTTTATTCCAGTTCGACTTTCGCCTCGCGGGCGTTTCTTTGGAACAACGCTGAGACAAATCTCATCCAGCGTTGTCAACGACGACAACGATAGAGGTGCAGAGCTGAATGCTGTAATGGCTCTCGATTGGGACCAATTTATTATTGTTTACAAATACTTATCGAAACTATAAGCTCGCTTTATATAAGACCAATCAATCAGTTGTCTTCCGATTGACGAGTGTGATCAAGACGATCCAATCGTCACCTCGTGATGCGAACGAGATTGTTTAACTAAAGTACAATCCAACATGAACACGGCTTATTTCGAAGATAAAAATCGAGAAACGATTTCTGTTGAAAGAAAATCTTTATTTCATAACGTTATTTTATTCATATTTATTTACGAGCTGACATTTTGTTCAAACAAAATGCGCGCCTGTGCAACGAAGAAATAACCGGAAGATAAGATAAGTCTAGAAACAGTAACAGAGCGCGAAGGCATTTGCTGTTGACCATAAAAGTTTCCGTCAGGTTGTTTCCACGTTATGCAGCGTAACCTGATTAGCATTTGTCCTTGGTCATTACCCTTAATAAAAGTTGCGCCGACTATAATCGTAAAGACACTTTTACTGCGAAGAAACAAAAGAAGGTGAAGGATGAACAGATCATCAACCGCGATCGTACATATCGATTGTTTCCCTTTTCAAGCGAGCAGTTATTCAACACTGGGACAGATTCGCGACGAACGTGATATCGAAGCGTCAAGGTTGCGGTAATAATTTATTCGTAGAAAACGTTTAATCATGGTTAATCAGACTGCACAAAGTTCACCTGAGACATGTAACATGTTAAACTTCTCGTGCGGACGTCAATTTCCTTTTAAGTAGTAATATAATTCTACATATTATCACGTATACGACGTACGAAATCGTTTCTCGCAAATTTTATCCGTCTGTACGTTAATATGCTCCGTTCAAAGATAGCAAAATATTACGTAAAAATATTAACGTTAAAATATGATGCAATCTCATGCTGTCAAAACTATCATCATTCATCTATGACGCGCACACAAAGTGCGCCATATGCGAATGACATCTCTCGTTTGATTAAGACTGAATCAAAATAAGTTACAGCTCCTTCAAAAGCTGTGCGACGTTCCATCGCCGCGTTTTTAAAGGGGTATTTTATTATTAATCGCTATTTGAGCTGTTTTTATGAAATCATCTAATCATGATTACACAATTTCCGTGTAGTAAGACTCTATTTTATCGATTGTACTGATTTCAGCTTGTCATGATAGAAGTAGAAGAATAATGTATTGGTTGACATCGATTTCAGTATCTTTACCTTATGAAAGATACTTCGTTCGCTTATAACACACTCCATATGACAGTTTCGACAGCTCGATACGCACCATGTTTTAACGTCAATATTCCGTGACTTATTTGTGTATGTATGAGTGTGTATGTGCGCTGTTATTATTGCCAGCACGTACCATAGACTGATTATCCGCGTACGAATAAGACAACATTGAGAAGCGTCTTCGATGTTATTGTATGAGAAATTTGACGTCCGAAGACAGTTCCATTATTTTGCGATGTACCGTGTTTAAACGTGCGAACTTTAGTCACTGATCGATCGAATTTAAACGCTTTCCATTAAAAAAATTATTAACATTAGTTTCGATTTTTTTTAGTACTACAGAATTTTATCTTTAAATTTTCTCAGAAGTCTATCACAAATAATTAACTAAGACCAGAACATTTTGCACGTGCACAATGGGTATATTTTATATACTATATGAAACGAAATAGCAGACGCACGATGCAGTCAGCTAACAACATATTCTGAGGATCATTATGTGCATACTAGCAAATTACTACATATAAAGGTGGACAATCGAGTCAGATGAACAGAAAAACAGCAATATCCGGAATCATCTCCTGCAGAAATGAAATTATTATCGACATTAAGTCGTCGTAAACAGTCTCTTCTTTTTCTCTCTAATTTATGTAATTTCCTCCCGTGCAGTTCTATATAACAAATGCGACGATTCTAACGTGAAATTAACTGTAAGAAGGAGATAATCCTATGAATAGCAATCAACAAAATACATGAAAATTATAAAAATTCGATATAAAAGATAAGTTTATAAGTATGACGATATATAGGTAACATGAAATATGACATAACATAATAATATAATTATGCAACTTATCAATTTACAATTTAAGCATTAACTGCTTAGCAACAAAATTAAATTATCGAAGCTCTCTCTCTCTCTCTCTCTCTCTGTTCCTCTGCGTAAATTAAAAGAACGATCGTGCAACTTCGCCAAAGTTATCCTTCAATTTTCGAAGCCATAAGCCAATCATCACGTCGATACGATCGACGTACCTGCACGCGTATCTTATATAAGTTCAAACCCTCTTAGCTGGGTTCTCCAGTTATAAAGCTGGGTTCCCGTCCTTGTTCAGGGTGCACCGTCGAAATGTTTCGAGGTTGTTTTAACGGCGGACTTATCGTTCGCGCGTAATGCTTCTAAAGGGTGCAGCAAGTTGCGGAGAAACTCGGCCAAATATACTCACATTATTCGCGAACTCATTCAGGTCGTTAACCTTTAACCCTCTCTTTATGAATATTCCCTATTCTCTCAAGATCTTTCCAATACCAAGGACGTCATCATTCTCAGTGATTATCGATACGATCTTTAGAAACGTCTCGGAATTAAATAATAAAGAAATTAAATAATAAAGAAATTAAATGCAGAGAAATTAGAGAAACTCTAAGATCACAATCAATAAATGAGGTGTCCCGATAAAAACCCAAGGCACAGATATTAATGCGTGAATTATTATATTAAATTAATCCTGATTATACAACTCTGTGTCTCTCAGACGTACATGCGTAGTTTCCTCCTAATGAAATTATCTGAGGTTAGTTATTGGAAAACCTACGTCTCTAAGACGTAGAGTATTATTTTTACATAAATTTTTATACATCTGATAAAGAAAAATTACGTGTAACTTTTGCAATTTTCTTATTTATGGCCAACCACAAAAAAATATGTAACAACCGTGATAAGTCGAAATGATAAACATGAAAACTGAGAGAGTCGATATCTACCACAAAAGAATTTATTTTTTATATTTTATTTTTTTACTTTTCTATTTAAGTTTTGATTTTATTTTAATTTTACATTTTT